TTCTTGAGTCTAGCAGTGGTTGCCTATGCTACCAAGATGCGCACAACTTGAGCCGCAAGGCACCTGCCCTGTTTTTAGTTTATATTTTGTGAAGTGACTCTTGTGTTGTCAGGGTCAAAGTGCGTTCTGGCACTAACAGTTTAGCTCCAGTCATCTTGGGCTAAGCCCACTAACTTGTACTGGTGCTGCTGCAGCGTGTTTACAGCCACTCTCATGAAAGGTATTGCACATTGCTGAACCCAATGGCTAGGGCCAATTGCGCTGTTTGAGCGTCGGTGTGTTTTCTGTTTGTGGCAAATGCTGCTGGAGGCCTAGTGTATCCTAGTCTTTTTTCCAGGCGTAGCAACAAGCTGCCCCGCCCTGACACGTCGGAAGTTCGTGGACAAGCAAGTTCATTTCTGATTTCAGATGTCAGCTGAATGCTATCACTAGGCCACCATGCGTGTCCACTTGCTTGTTCTTTGCAATGCCCGCTGCAGCATTGCACTTGTCTCCGCACGGCTCTGCCTTCGCGGAGCGCTTGAGGAATTGTAAGTCAAAACGTCAGTGCCTGCCTTCTGCCTTTAGTCTGTTTCTAGCAAGCATGCATGCAGAGACTTTGTCAATCGTTTGTGTGCTTTTTTGTGCTAGCCTTTTTGCTTCTTGGTGATTGCCTGGCATAGGCAGTCTGAGTATCTTCGGGGAGCGGTTCCCCGATGAGAATTTCGTCCTGAAGCTCAGCCCTGAGAGAGTTGCGTGTTGGTGGAGGGCAGGATGTGCTGTCCTGATTATAGTTATAGTACATTATGGTGTATTCTAATACATTATAGTATATTATAATTATAGTACATTATATTATAACTGTAGTATATTGTAATATAATTATAGTATAGTATATTGTAATCATAGTATATTATAGTACACTCTAGTGGCTCAATCGCTGAGCAGCTTCGCCACTGTTGTGCTGAGAGTTGTTGCTGGCAGAAGGAATCGTGAGTTGGGTTTACGTAATATGGGGGTTTCCCAAAATTAGGGGTACCTTTTTGGGGGTCCCGAAAAAAAGGGCTTTAGTATATTGGGGTCTATATTGGGGTACCCTAATTTGGGGAAACTACCATATGCGGCATGGTTGGAGCCACCGTTCACACAGGGAATCTTGCACCGCATTGATCCCCTGTAGCGCCTCAACTCTAAGCACCCCGAGTTTCACAATGACATGGACCCCCAGCAATATCCATCACCCAGATAATCGGCAAAGATAAAATGGGTGAATTTTAGTATTAGGGGCGATGCAGGATTTCCTCCCTTTGCATTGTTGCGGTACTGCTAAGATGTTATGGGACAATCTGAGCCTTGTCAGGCACGACAAGCCAGGGTTGCTCTCCATGGCGAATAGCGGGGCGAACTCAAACGGCTGTCAGGCCATGACTTGCTTGCCCCAAACCATGAGGGCTGTGCGGCCGTTGTTCGTTTAGTTTCCCAGGTATATTAAGCCTACAGACTCACCGTGGGAGACACTTACATGCTTGATGGTTTTGATCGGCTTCAACAATGTGGAGGCCTCCAGGAAACTCTGCAGGGATGCTGGAGTTTCCAAGTGCCTTTTTCCGGCACCTTCACAGAGGCAGCCCCGCAGAACACTTTCCCAATCCCTACTGGACGCCCACAGGATGCATCCAAACGAGGTATGTTTGACTGCATCAACACATGCAAGCCTTTACAGATGCACGTGCAGTATGCATGGTGCTTATCATTTGAATCCTAATACGCGGCATTGTGATGTTCTGCCAATTCGACATCTCCATGGCGAAGGGGGTTACCCTCCTTTGCCTTCTGCACACGTTATGAGTCAGTGTTTAGCAGCTGCCTGGGTTTTCTCCGAATGATGTTTACCTGAGATTTTCATTCAAGGCCACCTGAGGCTTCCACTGGCAGTGGTTGATCATGCTCCTGACTTTAAATTTGAGAAGGGTTCTCCGTGCGTTCTCAGTAGGAGCTTGAGTCGGGTGATCGGGCTTTCTGACAACACTACTAGTTATAGGCCACCCGAGGTGACAGGTCTCGAAGCAGGAGCCATCAAGAAAGTAAGGGTAGGGTGGAGGAGCATGAGTGTACCAGCCGGCAACGCTTGTGCCGGTTGTCCAAAAAGTTGTTGCCCTTGCGCTTGGTGTGCCAGTTCTTCATCACGGCGAACAAGTGCGACTGGCTTGACAACAAGCACGTAGTTTTTGGCCAGGCCGGAAGCTTGCATGACTTGCATGGAGTTTGCTTGAAGTGCAGACGATTTGCCTGAGGTGTTAGACCCAGCTTCAATGCTTGTGGCTGCGGCCTTACAAGACGAGGAGTCGGGCCCAAGTTGGCCCAACAAGCTTTTGGAGACCATCAAGCGTTCAGGTTGCCTACGTGTAGGCCATCTCAGTTGCCAACAAAATCGGACCTGTACGGGCCCACAATGACCCACATTTGGGCTAGCTGCAGGATGAAGGCACATGCTTTAGAGACAGGTTGCCGCAAGAAGGTCAGAGTCCTATGAATTTGCCTGACCGCTATGTCAATAGGAATTAGCAGGACTCGCACGCGCCTTTAGAGTTCAGTTGTTGGTTGTACAGAAGCATCCTACAGAGAAAATTGTTTCTAAAGCCGCCTCAGGGTGTCATTCAGATTTGAAAGGATATTGCAGAGGAAGTCAAGGTTTCCAGGTTTCCGTGCTGCACCGCAAAGATACTCCCGAACTTTCAGCCATCAGTGCTTGTAGTTGCCCCCATGACAGAGGTCCGTAAGATTGAGAACGTTGCCGTTGGTGCCGGCAGCAAGCCGCGTTGCGAGCTCATGGTTGCCCAGAGACTGCCAGCGAGGGTTAGGTCTTAAGCTTCAAGGAAAGCTGGTTCTGACTGCTACTCAGCTGCTACGCAGAGTGATGATTGGAGCGTGGTCTTCCCAGGCTTGCACCATGCTAATCAACAGGACAGTCGAAAATGATTGCCATGCTGGAGCGTACACAATTCATCGCATGAAGCTTGGTCCGGAGGAGCTTTCCCTTGGGCGCAAGCTTTCGGAAACAGCTGTTTCGCCAAGCTTGCGTAGTTTTCTTTCTTTCGTGAAGCCCGAATGATCATGAGCTTTTCATTTTTACAGAGCGGAAGTTTTCGCCTAGATACCTGCTTGCGAAATCCTGGCAACAATGATCATCTGCTGGCTCAGACACCGGATTTCGGAAGTTCAAGCTTCACATCAAGCTCACACCCCGTCAGATGCTGTAAAATGAAGCCTCCACTCCTGGGAGAGCACCATGTGGAAACTTCGCACGTCTTTTCAGCGCCGTTGCAGCTAGCTCTATACCCCCCAAAAAACCGAAAAGAAGAAGCGAACAAGCAAAGAGAAAGACTGTTGACCCAACACTGTCATTACATGCTTGTGTTTCGGGAATTGACAGACTGCGAGTATGTTCCAAGGTCTGTCCGTACTTATTACGGAGTCGGGAGCTTACTTGTCAAACATGGTAGACGCGGAAGGTTACAGAGAGGAACCAAGGCAATGCAATCTTGATAGCAATGAGGCTTGGAACCTCAATTTTATACTATAGTAGTTTCCATTTTATTTTCCATTATCCCAATATAACCTCAATAGAACCCTATTATCCCAATAGGACGGCCTGTGCACTCAGGTGTGGAGAGCTCTAAGCAGCTGCCTGAGAGACTCCGTCGAGCCGGTGCGGCTGCAGGATGCCTCAAGCCCCCGGGACGGCAGAGCCAGAAAAGACAAAAACAACACTGCTTCCTATGTTCGAGGCGTCAGAGGGGCCTTCTTGAAGCGAAGCGGTGAAGTCTGTTTTTCCTCGAGCAAGCTCTGTGGCAAAGGACATGCCTATACTTCTAGCGTGAACACACAAGGAATCCAGCTTTTTGCAAACGCTTCCAGCTTGCCATGTACCGCACCATCCCTTGAGCGAAAACTAGTAAAAGCACTACTGCTTAATGCTGCTAAAATCCACAGGACCCTATGTTCAGTGAGGCGCAAGCTGTACCAGCCTTGAGATTTTAAAGACCCTCCCCTCAATTACCAACCCCCGAGCCTCTGAGCCTCTGGTTGGTACTGAAGGGACAGGCAGTAGTTGCATGTAGTTTCGCGCTGGGGCATGATCCGAGTGGATTCACAACATATGAGCTATAGTCTAAACTCCTAGTAGCCCCCTACATAGCCCGTATAATACTCCCCTATATAATCCCCTAATTACCAGACTGTGCTGCAAGAATTGCACGGCAGCCTTGGTTCTGAAACTTTACATAGTACAGTGCGGAAATCCATGGTGCCTGCTTTTCAAATGCTTGCATTGCTGTGCTTGGACCAAGCCATTGGTGATTCATGTCCTGCAAGTTCATTGTGATTCACGCCAGCTCCAATACACTACTCTGCTGATCCTGACTGCAGAGCACGCCAGCCCAGTTGCAGCTTTCATGGGCTGTGCTGGTCATCTGCGGTCTGTGACAGGCACCCTGATTTTGCAAGAGACAGATCCGGCGATGCTCATGCCCTCCAAGAGAAGTTGCCTTCAAATCCTGTTTTGGACGCAGCCATTTGCCAGCCCATCTCTATCTAGCTTTGGGAGTGAGCGCTTACCGAAGCAAGAGCCGTAGCTGGGCAATGAGTAGCTCGCTTGCTGCAGCTCTCGGCCTTGAGCCCCCGCGAGGGCTCCGTCGACTTCGCGACCTTATCGTGGAGCATCAGGAAGTTCCCCAGCAGTTCGTCCACATGCAGGGCCAACTTCAGCGCACGTGGAATGCCTTGCAGGGTCAACAGCAAGGGCTAGCCCAGCATCGCAACCGTGAGAGGCCGACTGATGACCAAGAAATTGCAGAGCCTGTGCCGTGAGCCAAGGAATGCTGGCAACCTTGCATCACAGGCAATTCCAGTAATTGCATGCAAGACAGAAATCTGCTTATCCGACATCTCCCTCAGATTTCTTGATTGCCCATAAGAGCAACTTAAGAGCTCCAGCCTTTTCCTCCCAGTGCACCATTGGAATGATCGCAGCGTGTGGGTTCTTTTTCCAGATGTTTCCAGGTGTTGCCATAAGGGATGGAGCTCTAGTGAAAGCATGTGTCTGGCAGGTCTCATGGCCTGGCAGATGCATGGAGTTTTTGTCCTTTGCACGACACTTCGAATTCGCTATGCGAATGCGGCACCAATCCAGCAGTGCTGCAGGAGTTCGTGTTTCTCCGTGAACCTGGTGACTAGTATAGAGTGCATGGAACATTTGTGTGAATCTGCTGTTGTTTCTTGACGGGCTCCTTTCTGTGCACGGGGGGACGCCAGCCTGTCTTGCATTCTTTCCGTCCTCGTGCAACCTACAGGTAGCAAGCCGGCTCACCGCAAGATCCGTGCAACAGCTGCTTGCGGCGTGCGCCCTCGCTATCATGAAGAATATGTTGGCGAAAAGGGCTGCAAGGTGCTGCCAGGGCGCCAACTTGCTTTCGTACTCTGTGGCAGGTTGATGTACATAACATAAGGGTGAGCTGGTGGCGTCAAACACAGCTTGAAACTGCTCCTACCACGGGGCCCTGGCATGCGAATGGATGGACCCGACTCAGAGTTGTGCGTCAGAAACTGGGCTTTGATGACGAGCATTGCAGTAGGACACGGTCACTCCGTCAACAGTTTGGCTTAGTTTCGATACTTGCAAATAGCTCAGATGTCATGTGCGCTGTGAGAGGATTCGTGAGAGATCCTGTCAGGCAGCATGCAGCGTGGCTGCCTACGAATCTACGCCCAACTGAGAAGATGCGCTTGCTTTAACAAAGGAAAGCTGATGCTGTCTGTGGGAAAAGCAGCATCTTGCTTTGGGTTCTCGCTTTGGAGTGGCACTGAGCGGAGCATGAGGAAGAGGGCAGCTTCTCCTGTAGCATGCTGTAGCTTCAGAGGTGTCCTCGCCACGTCGATCTCCTTACAGAGCTTAGCTGCGTTGCGGGATAGGGCAATATCATCGTTCACCACAACATTTCTGTCACTTGCTCGGCGATTCCCGCATTTGCACAGATAAGAGGTTTCCGGCCAAATGCCTCAGTGCAAATTCGCCGATTTAATGCGGAAGCTGCAAGTGTTCCCACAAGGGGTGTGGCATACTGCGTTGATGAGCCGGAGGAAGGAGTCGGTGCCATGGTCAGTGGACGAGGCTTGTTAGCCAAAGTGCCCCTTACTCAGCGGTTGCGCAGAGCTTGGGCTTTCCGTTTGGCACGCTTGGCAAAATCATGCAAAGGCTCTCGTCCTGGCGATGGTGCCCCTGGGGCAATCGGGCACTTCTGATCGGGACAGTATGTTTATGTTTTTGTGTAACACAAATGCTGCTAGAAAGTCTTGCCAGTAGCCATCTGGGAGATGCAGTCTTTGCATGCATGCATCATGAACAGACCCTTACACTGTTGCGGAGTAGGGTCTCCACCCGGACGCTAGTCGCAGGAACATGCTGCTCTTGTTCCTGCTGTACATTGCCACTGGCTGAGTGAGCTTGTCTTGTGCAGCATTGGCAATGCAAGGTAGGGAGGCTACTGCCTTACTGGCTCTATCAGTCTATCCGCATCCAAATTCCTCAGGCCCATTTTCAGAGAGAGATGGGGCAACGAGAGGCGTTGAGACTGCCTTCCGTCAGTCTGTGACGGACCTGAGCACATGTTGTTGCACAGGCATTGGAGGCTGCAGTGCAGGACTGGGAGCGTGCAAGAGAGACTGTTTGCAGCTTCGCAGCCCTTCAGATGCACCACTCAGACACTTGAGTACAACACCCGGAGCCCAACCCGAACGGAAGCCTCGACCACCTTGACCCTGCTGCACAAAACCACAGCAACTGCAGCCTCGCACGCACCACCAGCATGGTGGCTACCTCTGAGTCATCCTTGAATTTTGGCGATTCTAGCTGCTGCAGCTACATGAACAATTGCAGATCTTGATTTGAACCTGGATCCGAGGCAAAGCATCAAGTTTCAGGCCCTCCAAGTCCGGGTCTTCATGTCCCTTTCACGTGGAAACGACATGGTCCTCCTCAAATCGCCAACAACCGAAGTTCAAAGGAGAGCCCCAGCAGCCTGAACATTGTTCCAGCAAATCGTGAGCTAAAAAAACAACCAGCCCGTGCCTCGCTTCCCAGACCCTTAAAAGATCCAAAAAATGTATAGTATCTATTAGGGTAATATAGGGATAATGCAAAGGAAAATGGAAACTACTATGTTATGTAGGGGCTATATTGGGGTCAATATTGGGATAATGGAAAAGACAATGGAAACTACTATAAATGGAGCCTCCCCCCCCATATGCTAGTGGATTATTAGGGGGATCGAGGGGGTCTGGGCTTGCAGCCACCCAGGGCCATGCCAATCGCTTAAGCAGTCCTGACATTTGTTCCAGAACGGATCCGTTTTAGAATGGTCGCGAAATTATGCCTCTCCATTCTAACCCTTCTATAAGC